GTTTACATATGTGTGTGTGTGTGTGTGTGTGTGTGTGTACACTCAAGGGATACAAGTACGCCATTGAAATATGTAAAATTATTTGCGTTTGCCTATCCACCCACGTATCCTTCCCAGAGAGATAAGTATTAATGCGTACGTGAAAATTGCATATCTGCTTGCGCATGCGCATACATTCCCCCATTTATTACGAGCGTCTGCGTTGTACGCACAGAGATATTCGTAACTCTTCATGTTAAGCTCGTCTCTAACATTTTCATATTAGTCTAACTGACAACGTCATCGTCGTGTCTGCCGCGCATCATCGCCCTCACGCTCTCCACTGATCATCATCACCACCATCATCGCTGAATCACCCTAGCCGCATCATCATCATCATCATCATCATCGTATAATGTTATCGTGATAATGATGTCAGTCGTGGATTTTCCCTTATATCATCATCATAAATCTAGCATCGGTCATCATCATTGAATCTCCCGATCATCATCATCATCATCATCATCAAATTTCTATTATATAGTAATCATCAACCATCACATGAACGTAGTCATCATCATTGAATCTTGATCTTCACAACAACCACATTCAAGAATCATCATCATAATCATCATCATCATCATCATCGAATTACCTTATTATTATCATAATCATCATCATCATCATCATCATCGAATTACCTTATTATTATCATCATCATAATCATAATCATCATTATCATCATCGAATTACCTTATCATCATCATCATTATCATCGAATTACCTTTCATCATCATCATCATCATCGAATTACCTTATCATCATCATCATCATCATCATCATCATCGAATTACCTTATTATTACCATCATCATCATCATCATCATCATCAAATTACCTTTCATCATCATCGTCATCATCGAATTACCTTATTATTATCATCATCACAATCATCATCATCATCGAATTACCTTATCATTATCATCATAATCATCATCATCATCATAGAATTACCCTATAATTATCATCATCATCGAATCACATCATCATCATCATAATCGTCATCATCACCATCATCATCATCATTCCTTAACATTATCATCACCGAATCTCTTTGCGGTCATATATAACGCATCACGAACCAAGTTTCAATATTGGCTAAGAAACAGCAAAAAATAAATAAATAAATAAATAAAATAAAACCGCAAAAACAAAACAACAACAAAACAGCAACAACAAATCAGTTTCTCATAATTGCATACAGAATTAAGCTTGCGTGTAGCATGAATGTTGTAAGGTGGGGGTGGGGAGTGTAGTTTCCGAAACGTTTCTGCTAGACGCGAAGAGGTTATTTAATAAGATTCGTACCAAGTTTATTGCTATATTTAAGTCCGTCAATTCATATCCTTACCCACCATCACGTATATATATATATGTTTTGTACCTATCACTTACAAGAGCTTTTACATTCAGTGGAGAGGATGAAAAGGTAAAATAGTCGAAATGTTGGCTGCGAATGAAGAAGCGTGCGATAAAAAGTAAAGAACAAGAAAAACCGAAAGAACGCGATACCATCCTGTTTTTATTTTTATTTTTTTTTATTTATTTTTAGTTAATATGGTATACTTTCAGCTAATAACAAAAATAAGTTAAAAAAAAAAATAGAAATAAAACACCCACACACACATACACACACATAGGAATCTCCTGGCTCCAAGTTATTTCTCTCCAATTTCTAAATATTCTATCAGTTTTATATAAAGACAGAGAAGATTTTGTTCTGAGGCTGAATTTATTTTTGCCCATTAAGCAACAACAACAGCCACAATAAAAATGGCGACTAGTTGCTTCATCTACTGAAGTCTCTTTAATAGCATCTCGAAGAAGCGGCAATGTCCGTGGGCATCTCGTAATGCCAGGAAGTTTATGACAGCTGTTCTGGATTTAGTGAAATTTTTTTTTCCGTTAGCGCTTAAACTACAAAAAGTCCGAGGTGTGTGGATTGTCAAATGTAAATGGTCAGGTGTAGTTCCATAAATGTGTGATATTACAATTCTTTCCATTGAAGTCATAAAAAAAACAAATAACAAACAAACGACAAAAAAAAATGATATTCGTACAGCCCGTGTGAGATAACAAGACACTGACAGATGATGGCTAGCAAAAGAAAGAGGCAAATATATGAAAAATAAGAAACGCTTAATACTTTCAGGTGGGGTTTTAAATAAACCCAAATACGGAAAAAACAACGTGCATTTAAATTCATCACTGCTTAGCTGTGAGAAAGAGGATTTTGGAGGGGTTTCCGCGATGGCTAAGGTACCCTCCCATATCAGTTGCAAGAGCAGGAAATATCCTCCAGGCCTTCTTCCAGATGTGGATGTGCGCATAGCGTAAAGGCTATCAGCGCCAAAATAAGGATCCGATAAGGCGTTACGCTGGCAACACCACCCCGTAAAAAAGCCTACTTGCTACGGTTGAAACACCAACACTAACGTACCGAAGCTATAGCCTTTTGTACGGCATATGGAGTGAAAAGTAGGCTGGAATCTATAGCCTTGGTTATCAACTAGTCTAGAAGAAGTATAATTTTGAAATCAAAACCGATTAGGCTTTGGGCTGACAACTCCAACCCGTAAAAAAGCCTACTTGCTACGGTTGCGACACCAACACTAGCGTGGTAAAGTTTTGCTCGATGTTTAATGTGTGTAGCTGCATATGTATTACTGACAGTACCCTTTAAACAAGGGGTTTACCTGCAAGGAGAGACGCCGCAGTAATGTCCCGATGTCGTCGATTTCTTGGTCTTTTTTCTCCACTGTAGATGTTCGATCAGGATGTCGTCTCCTCGAACCTGTATTTTGTCTGCGTTTCTGAACTGAGTAGACTGAATCGTTTTTCTTGGGCCTACAACAAAGGGTCATATTTGAAATGTTGAAATCGCTAGATGTGACCGTAAATACTATTCTTATAGTTTCTGCTCTCGCACATCTCCCCTGTGGAACTCTTTTCCGATTTCTTGCTTTCCTGGCAACTCTGATCTTCAAAGATTTAAACGCGACATCAATGTCGCCATCTTCTGTCTCCTTGAATCCTCTTCTTTTATAGGCATCTCTCTTCAATAATGTTTTTTTTTTCTTCTCATATTCTTCCATTCTCGGTAAATCCTTCGGCCTTAGTTGCTTTATCGCTTTGCTTGGGGCAAAATGATTTAACGCAAGAAACAAACAAAAAACAGCCCAGTTCTTACTTTCCAGAGTTGACAGAAATCCAACGCGTTTATATAAGTTGCAACACTCCGGTCCAGTAATATTTCTATTATTTAACCTGACATTCTTACTTAACGCAATAAGCGACAGAAAGTTATGGAATGTTGTGATCACTAACTGTTGTGGAGTGATTTCGCAGTGGAGACTTGTATTAGTCGGTCCTAAAATAGGTTCGATGTACAAAACGTTAGGAACTTGATATAATAGGTATTACGCAGAGTAATCTTGTTGTGGTCGCTGATACTTTAGTATTCGACTAACTGTCGTCCGACATCGACTGACTGGCTCAATGACGATATTTAGTCACCCCCCCCCACACACTAGGGCATCATGTGGCAAAAGGCCGGTTTTTTAACGTGGGATCTCCGAGCCCGTGGGCTCGGCCTAAAAAAAAGTATGCCCATTGAACCCGTATAAACGGGTTCAGGGTCGATTTACCTCCCCGAAAGAGAATCCGACATTCGGCGTAGCCTCCTTCGGGTTCCTCCCCGCTCAAAGACAGAGAGTTCAACCGATCAGCCATTCGACTGACTGACCGACTCTATGCCGACTTGTTACTCTTACTACTACTACTTAGTATAAGTGGGAGATTCTATTAACTATAGAATAGGTGTGTTCCACTATAACAATAAGGCAAAATTTACGGTTTTTCAGTTAGGCTTGGAGTCCGTTAATTTCGTAGGGGATGCGAAGGAGCCCGAAGGCAGAGAGTTCAACCGATCAGCCGGTCGAGACTTGAACGACTGACGATATTCAGTCTCTCCCCCACCCCCACTGGGGCAACATGTGACACAAGGTCGGTTATTTATTGTGGGTTCTCCGAGCCCGTGGGCTCGGCCCCAAAATATGCCCATTGAACCCGGGCTCAGGGCCGGTTTACCTCCCCGAACGAGACTCCGCCCCTCGGCGTAGCCTCGTTCGGGTTCCTCTCCGTTCGAAGGCAGAGAGTTCAACCGAACAATCGCTCAGGACTTGAACGACTGACTCACTGACTGACTGACGGACCCTTACTACTCCTACTTATTATAGGTGGAAGAGTCTATTAACTATAGAATAGGTGTGTTTCACCATAACACTAACGCCCTAAAATGACATGACACATAAAAAAAAAAAGAAAATTACCAAGATACTTTGTCTCTCTCTATACTTTGCCCTTTTAAATTCACTTTTTGCTTGTTTATATTATTTACATTGTTCGGAATTTTGTCCTCATCTTTATTGTCATATTCATGACGTTTCGGCTGTTGAACGCTCCGGCCTTCTTCAGGTGGTTGGAATTTCGAACTGAACCCTATTTTTCCTTCATCAGGGTAGCTTGTTCTAGGTCCACGTGTCATGCCTCTTCCGGAGGTTCTCAGTTATCTCCCCTTAACTCAACTTACCAATTTTTTGTTCATCACTGCAGTAGCTAGGTATCGAACTCACAACTCTTTGGGTAAAGTCACTGGATCCAACCAACGCTTATATCCACTGGGGCCATGTGTCATTGAGGCCAACAGTCCGAACAATGTAAATACTGTAAATAATTACAATACCTCATCTCTGAATTATAAACAGATCTTTGCCTGTTCTTTTGTTGCCTTTAACGAACTTGAGAGAGAGCAAAGAATGACACCATTAGAGACATGAATATACGTATAGATATATCCCTTGTTTCGAACAAGATGACTTATTCATCTTTACTAGACGAGAGTTAAATGCACAAATATTTCGGTGCTGGATTGATTGATTAACGTGTTTTTTACGGCCTATC